TAACCAACTGAGCCACCCAGGAGCCCCCTAAGACATTATTAGAAAAGCTTTTTCAAATCAGGTTCTGCAGAACTTTATCTCATTCCCAGATTCCCCATGCAGTATCAAAACCAAGTTCTGAGAACAAGAAGGTAAAAATATGCTTACAATGCCTCTTTGATTTAAATCTGCTATACCTTTGGCCTTCCTTTTTTTAAGTAGTGTCTACTAAACCACATGTATAATAATACACAATTTATTGTGTGGAAGCCCTTGATAACTGGCCTCCATTTTCCCAACTCATAGATAGTTTACCCATAAAGAAAAGATATTATCACTTGACTTTGTTAGGTAGGGGAATCAAATGAAATTGCAAGTGAAAGATTTTTAGAATTATGAAGCCTTTTGAAAATAATATAGTGTTTGGGAAAGGCAACACTACAAATCCAAAGAAAATATTACAAAATAGAGGCCAGAGTCAGGATTTGGTTGGCCTTCAATATGACTGAAACACAAAACCCTGAAACATGAGGAGAAAATCTCAAAAAGATTCCAATTCTTTAGGTTATTTTGGAATGTTCTGCATTGATAGAGGATACAATCCCCATTTAAGGAAAATCCAGTCCAGTTTCACTCAGGGTAGCCAAGCTCCTTTTACAGTCTGCATATTTCAGGAGACAAATGGAGAAACTGTTTTTTGTTTTTGTTTTTGTTTTTGTTTGTTTTTGCCCTGAGGAAGGCCATAACAATTTTCATGTATTAAATTCCCCAAAGAATTTCAAATTTTAATAGCCACTCATATGGGAATAAGGTTTTGAAATTACTTAATATGAAGGATATTTGGCTAATAGAGTATTCAACTTTAAGAAGGCTTAGGGAGTTTTTGATGATTTTCTGCAAATACATAGAAGGGTGATTAGATTTATTCTAAATGTACCTCATGGTTAGACAGCAGTCAGAAGTAGGAACAATACCTGGACAATATAATAATTTGAGTGTAATGTAATAAAGAAAATTTTTATAAATGGAGATGTATTTAAATGTCTCAATATTTTAGTTGTTCATCCCTAGAAAGTTTAAAATAGAAAAAATACAAATATTATCAATATTGCAGCAGATCAATCCCCAGGTGAGTAGTTGAGCCAAATAAACTCTAGGGTTCTTTCTTAAGTTGAGGTTTGAAAAGTTCAAAAGAGATTTTTCTACACTCAAGACGACTCTTAAAAAAAAAAAAAAAAGATGACTCTTGGAGCTAGACACCAGCTCCATGATTTGTATATAGAGATGGTTTTGGAGCTTTTCAAATTCCATCCCAACCAGTCTTAACATTTCCATTAGTTATTAAAAAAAGAAAGAAAGAGAAGAAAAGAAAAGAAAAAAAGAACTTGCCTGACTTGGGGCACCTTGGTGTCTCACTCAGTTAAGCATCCAACTTCGGATCAGGTCATGATCTTGCATCATGACCTGAGTTTGAGCATCAGGCTCGCTGCTGTCAGCATGGAACCTGCCTCAGATCCTCTGTCCTCCCTCCTCTGTCCCTCCCCAGCTTGTGATCTCTCTCAAATAAACCTTAAAAAAAAAAAAACCCTGCTTGAATTAATTGCCATATGTATAACCTATCCTTCTGATTTGATCAATACACCCAGAAGTGATCATTTATCACCTCCAAAGACACCTTATTCCATTATTGGATTATTGCAGTTGTCAGACATTGTTTTTCTTCCTCTTATGAATTCCGACAAATGAGTCCACCTCCTTCAGTCTCAGTTTTCTCATCTATAAATGAGATGCTTACGTTATAGTTTCTGAGTGTCCAAAGTGGGTCTCCTCACCATCAAAGACTGGCCAACTATTTAAAGAAAACTGCCATAGGTCATTCAGACATCTGTTTAGGAATCCCTCTCAATGTCAGTGTAACATCTCTTTAGGTAGGTTATAATCAAGTATTGTTTTTAACCAAAACTATGTTACCCAGTTTGATTATGCGTTTTATTGACTAAACTTGGCTCTGAATTACTTTTAGCTATTTCCCAAAATTAGATCCATCTGCAAGAGATGAAGATTTACCACTATCGAGGTCTTTAAAAAGTGCTACAGGCTTTGAAGAAAGTTTCAAAACAAGAGTCCAAACAGCCTCTGAGCTAAAGTAGCATCATTAAAATAATTGTATAATAGCTCAAGGGACAATAATCATTTGAAGGTGTAAGTTCTGATTTGATTAAAAAAATAGTGACATAGCATATTTCATTCACAAAAATATTAAGTAACAATATGAAGTGGCATGTAAGAAAGATGGAACATAATAAGCCTTACAATAAGCCTCTGGTCCACAGAGGGAGAATGATTACTGTATACTGAGTAGTCAAAGAAGGTTAAGTTGAAAAGATAAAATTTATTCTACTTTGAAGAGTAGGCAGATTATTAGCATCTATTATTATCTGTATAAAAATATATATTTTACTTTATCAGAAAGAATTAACTGGTGATACTAATCAGCTTTCACTCAGAAAGGAGTTGAAATCTGAGAGACTAAAGGGAAAGACAATTAAACTTTGCTTTGGCAGAGGTCTGCAAGGGCCAACATCAGGAGTCACAGTGACCATGGAAGTGGGTAGAAAGGATGGTGCTCACTCTCTCCACCTCCCTGGAAGCATGTTCAGTTCTTTTGCCTACAAAGGCCAGCATTTTCCTAAAGTAGAATCTTACCTACCACTAACCAACATTTCCACATTGATGCCCATAAGCATCAATAAGAAACCAAAGCAGAGTCTACCTAGTTTGTCTACCATAAATAATTATTTGGTTCTTCATCCCTATTTACCTGCCCAAATTTACAGCTTTTGTTTTGTTTTGTTTTTCCCTAGAAAGATGCTACAGAAAGGATTCCCAATTCTGCCTTTAAAAGCAGAATGGTTATAAAGTTACAAAATGTGACAAACAGAAGAACGGCTGTTAAGTGACAAGATTATCAGGACATTAAAAAATATAGAAACGGGGGGGGGGGTGCCTGGGTGGCTCAGTCAGTTAAGTGTCCAACTCTTCATTTCTGCTCAGGTCGTGGTCTCACGGTTCCTGAGTTTGAGCCCCACATTGGGCTTTTTGTTGACAGCATGGAGCCTGCTTGGGATTTTCCTTCTACCCCCCCTTCCCCTCCCCTGCTCATGCTCTCTCTCTTTCAAAATAAATAAATAAAACTTAAAAATATATATATATAGAGAGAGAGATAGAGACTAGAGATGATGAAAATGCTCTTTCCTCACTGAGAAGTGTCACTCAAGTGAAATCTACTTGCTCTTTCTCTGTTTCAAAGAGAGCAGGAATGGGGAATGTCAGTAAACCATGTGTCACATGCATGCAAATCTTTAAGTGTTCTAAAGGTCATTTGCAACCCACATGGCTTGGCATTTGCCTTCCAGAACACTAAAAGGAATAATTTAATTAACTCTTCCAAAGAAACATAATCAGACTTAATTGGAATTTATGCCGATCAAAATATTTGAGTCTAGGACCTGGATAACTGGAGAAGAAATGATACAAAAAATATTTGATAGCTGGTGTCAGTAAATTAAGGTTGAGAAGCACTTGAAAAGGAAATCAGAATTTAGCGTACAAGAGCTTGCACTTCATAAGAATTCAGTGCAGCACTTTGGTAATTTTCTTCTTGGCCCCCTTTCCCAAATTCTTAATCTCTGGAAAATATATCAAAATGAGTCAATAGCAAAGCTTGCCTCTGAAACAGGAGACTTGACAACAAATGCCACCCAACTGTCATTGTTTAAGCTTATGAGCAATTGAATCTCATTATTTCAGCCAAATTACGTTTTACTGCAGTGAGAAGCCAAAAAAATATTTTAAACTGTTTTTTTCTGCACTTCAGATTTCAGTGATATGGACAAACACTGAGGTCTCAAGAGAGCAAGAATGTCCTTTTTAGCCAAGAAGGATCATCCCAGGAATGGTAACCAGATGTTTTGTTGACCTAAAACATGGAAGAAAATAGCATTTTCGTTGGATTTTTATCAACCAGTTTTACAGAAGAAAAATAAACAGTAGATATTTCTAAAAGTTATGTGTATTTGGCAGAAAAACACAAGGGATGTTATACCTTTTAGAAAATGTGTCTTGGAATCATTATAATAATAAAACCACTATAAATCAAGTGAGGTAATGCGGTAAGTTATTTGCATCAATTATCTTGTTTAAATTATCATGTTAAAAATATTGTGAGGTGTTTCCACAGATAAGAAAACTGAGTCTCAAAAAGATAAATAACGTGCTGAGGTTACCCAGCTAGTGAAGAGTTACACTGCCTTTATCATAAGTTGCAATATAATTCACACTTGCTTGGGGCAAAAAATGAATGTATTATTTCATGAATGTGAGCAGTCCAATGGCAGATATACCCTCAGTATGACAAAGATGTCACCGGAATTCAGTTTGTTTTCTCCATCCCTTGATCATTTTTCTATTCTGTGGTCTTCATTCTCAGGCAATATTCCTACATGATAGCAAAGAAAGTCACTAACATCCTAGGCTATATCTGTGGAGATAGACATTACATACTCTCAGAGATGCAAAGAAATAAAAGTATGCTGCATGTATAACTACTCTAGTTTTCAGAAGTTGCCATTAATGCTAAAGGTGGGCACTTCCTCCCACCCTACACACACCTATTAAACATGATACAGTCTCTAGTCAGTGATATCACAAGAGTGTTGTATGGCGACAGATGGTAGCTACACTTGTGGTGAGCATAGCATAATGTATAGGGATGTTAAATCACTATGTTGTACACCTGAAACTAATGTTCACATTGTGTGTCAACTATATTCAATAAAAAAACAAAACAAAACACAGTCTCTGCCACTTTACACTAGTCTATTTTAGAGCATTTCAAGATGTTTTAGAAAACATGCAATCAAATTTGAGATTCAAACATTTCTCTCAACTCAGAAATTGGCCCTTCTATTTTCTCTTACCCTAAATGTGACTGGTTATAGGGAAAGCTCATGAAGCCTTACCGAGAGTGGTGGTGATCTGCACACTATCTTCACAGGCCTTGGCATGTCCCTTGTTTGCTTGACCAAGGCTCTTGGCTCTCTCAATTCCCAAGGCTGTTGGCTGTCTCACTCACCGTAGTTTACTCCGCATTATGCAGAGGCTGGGGGTGTAAACACGTGCAGTCCGGGGTCAGCTCCATGTTTACCAGTGATGCTCTTCCATTGTGCTACTTCTTGTGCCATCCTATTCCAGCGTTGGTTCTAAGCACTGTGTGAATCAGACTCTTCCACCAACTCTAAATAGGACACAGGATATAAGCCTTCCCTGTTTTGGATTTTCCCCTCAAATTTCATATTTTTATTTTTTAATTTTAATTTAATTTTATTTTTATAATGTTCATTTTTGAGAGAGAGTGGGAAGGGCAGAGAAGGACAGAGAGAATCCCAAGCAGGCTCCACAGCATCAGTGTGGAGCTTGATGTGGGGCTCTCACTAGCCTGCTTGCAAAGTGGAGATCATGACCTGAGAGGAAATCGGGAGTCAGATGCTTAACTGGCTGAGCCACCCAGGCACCCCTCCCCTTTCTTTCTCTGATGAATTTCTTATATGTCATACCCTCTCCTTTCCAGGGGAACAGTATGTGTAAATGCAGCAAAGAAAGTAATCACATTAGGAAGAAAGGAACACCATTAACACTGTAGATTAATGTAAGAGTGAAAATTCCTCTCTCTTGAAGGCTTTAGTAAAATCATGAGCATGACTCATGGTGATCCCATGTAGGTTCTATGCCCGTTCTAAACCCATCATTATGGAAAGGAAATGGAACACCTTAATTGGCCAAGCCTGAGTTAAATGTTAATGTTAAAAAGGTAGTAGGGATGAGATACAGAGTGAGTTAGTTTCAACCAAACTGAATAGAATATCAGAAAAGAGAGTTTGGAAAGAAAGAAGAGATTTAGAATAAGTTATGCATAGTTATACTTAGTGTGCATTATGGATACAGTGGAATGACTAATTTTACAATTAATTTACATTAATTTCCTTCTACATACTTGGAAAACCCAAGGTATAGAAACATATAAACCAAGATACCTTTCTCTCTCTCTCTCTTTCATCCATCTATCTCTTTATTTATCCCAGCAACTTGGCCTCTACTATCCTAAGGAAATATAATCCTCAGTCTAAAAGCAAAGCCCCCCCCCAAAAAAAAAAAGATAATCCACTACTTCTGAGTATCCAAGGTCTCAGGTTCTAATGATTGGCTATTTAAGCAATTTTCAAAAACAGATTTCACTCTATGAGGTGTTTTTTTTTTTTAACTTATATATTAACTTTTCAGCCTAATTCCCAGGTAAGTTATCCCCTCCACATCATATACCTCCAACATATGCATACATAAGAGACTACTCTTTTGTGTTCAAAGCCTCATAAGCAAGAAATGAGTTAAAACATCTTTCCTAGCCGGGCTTCTGGGTGGCTCAGCCTATTAAGCTTTCCACTTCTTCTCAGGTGATGAATCTGAGTTCAGTTGGTGGGTTCAAGTCTCACATTGAGCTCTGCAATGATAGCGTAGAACCTCTTCACATCCTATGTCTCCCTCTCTCTCTGCCCGTCATGTGGGCATTCTCTCTCTCTCAAAAACAAATTAACACCAAAAAAAAAAAAAAAAAGAAGAAGAAGAAAAAAGAAACAAACAAAAACATCTACCCTAGTGACATTCTACCCTGAATTTTGGCAATAGCTTCAAATTATGCTTTTCATTTTGCTTTATTTTTGCACTTAAAATCTGTATTCTGCGGTACGTCATGAACACAAATGTCTTTTACTCAAGTATATGCAGTCACTCTACTGTCCTCAAGATGGAAGCCAAAGTCCTGGGTTGAGGACTTTGGACCTTTCACCATTTGAACCTAACATACAGAGGTGTCTGGGTGGCTCAGTTGGCTGGGTGTCCAACTTTGGCTCAGGTCATGATCTCATCATTCATGGGTTCAAGCCCCACATCGGGCTCTGTGCTGACAGCTAGCTCAGAGCCTGGAGCCTGCTTCAGATTCTGTGTCTTCTTCTTTCTCTGACCCTCCCCTGCTCACTCTCTCTCAGAAATAAATAAAAATATTTTTAAAAAATTTTGAACCTAACATACATTTTGTATGGATTAAAAAAAAAAAAAAAGCAAAAGCCTAACAGCCCCATACATCAATAGTTTTAAAAATGTAGGAATCCCCACATTTGTGGATTTTGCTAAAAATTGAGAATCCTAGGCTTCACCAGATCCAGATACTGATTCAAGAGGCTTCGTATATGGCCATCAAATCTATATTTTAAATGAACAGTTTTGTTAGTCAAGCTGGATTAGTTTCCATTGCAGTAACAAGCAAACCTCCAATCAAGGTTGATATTCTACTTGACAAAATGTACCGCATAGGTCAGTTAGACACTCTTCTCCAGGACCAACACGGAAATGTTACCATTCACTTCACCTGGGGAAGAGAATGTGTTGAACTTCTTACTAGCCATTAAAACTTCCACCCAGAGTGTTTTTATTTTATTAGACAAAACAAGTTTTGTGGCAATTTCTAAACTCAAAGTGATTGGGAACTATTTGGTGAAAGGTATTTATGCAGCTATTCTGAGGACTTCATTTGAAGACACAGGTACCCTATTATTTATTCCAAACTAGCCTGTTTATTAAGTTTCAAAATCCGCCTTCAGTTCTCCCTAGTACATTTGAATACCCATCTCATCCTGAATCTGTCTTCCGTTTCTAGGTGCACAAGAACTTCCAACTATACGTTTATTTTCTGCAACTAAGAAGTCAAAAGACATTTCATGCTCAATAATTTATTTGCTTTTATTGTATTTTTAATGCTCAACTTGTACAAAATCATTAATATATCTATACCATAAAATATAATCTTATTTTTAAGAAAAAAATCTTTCAAGTGCCCTCCTCCATGCCCTTGAAAGATTTTTTCATATGGAAACCAACTTGACAATAAACTATTAACAAAAAAGATAAAGAAAAAAATCTTTCAGCAATCAATTCAGGGCAAGACGGATATCAAGAAAATTAGCCTTATCTGCTCAGCAGAATCCAACTATAAATAGATTATTTTATAAAAATCTCTTTATAAATCAGTTGTTTGAAAATCTTTTATATTTCTCCATTGAGACAATATTATAATGATTAAGATTTCTGAGAGAATATTCCAATGCCTATTTAACTCATTAGGCTATATGCTCAAAATGAAACACTGTAAAATAAAATTGTATAATATAAATTAGAACACAATGCCAGTAATTCAATAGAACAAAAAATGATGAAATATTGTCTATATTTTAAGCTAATACTGAGACAAGCCTTTTTAAAGGGGGAATGAAAAGGTAGGTAGAAATTTTACAGATATTTTGAAAGGGACTTAGGAATATTTTCAAGGGTTTATATGTTATTGGCAGTGGTTCTTGATTATTCCTAATTGCCATTTCAAATTTTATGATGTTCTTGCCTTAAAACAGGTATGTCACTAACCACACTTCAAAATTTCAAACAATGATTGTCCCATTGTTTGAATCATGATCGCAACAATGAAGGTGAGAATAAAAAAGTTAACGAAGAAGAAAGTAAAGAGTGAGAAAATACACTGTATTAGCTGGGAAAGAGTTTTAACAAAGGAGTTAACAATAAAATGCAAGTGGATGTGTTCTGTCATGAAACATTATCTGAGGGGGAATACCTCAGCTGTTATTTGTAAATTAAAGCAGAGAAAAGAAGCATGATCCATTTGATAGAAGGATAAAGTTGGTTGTGGTATAGACACATTGGAGTCAGACACCTTAGAGCAGGATACGAGGGAAGAGTAGAATTACTTGCTTGACGTTTAAAGTAATGAGTCTGAGTGGGACTTGAGTTTGTACGATGACATACTGGGTGAGAAGGAGACAGAGGAATGAGAAGAAGGTGCATAAAAGAGCTTTTCTTTCATATTTAAGGATGACACAGGTAAGTGTCATCTCCTCAGCCTCCTGAAGTTGAGGCAGGGGTTCCCACAGCCCTACATCCTGTTAATGAGCCTAGTGCAAAATCTATATCTGCTTTTCATTTCTCTATTAGTGAGGTTTGACAGCCTTCTGTGTGGTTAAGTTAGCTTTATGGCTCCACCTCCCTAACCCTCCTATTTTATCCAAATCCCATTTCTAGGAGCAATCCTGGGGATTTCCCCTGAGGAGATTACAAATGAGATTGGGACTAGGACTATTAACAACCAAAACCAGGGAAAAACTGGATTTGCAACAATCCCTGGGGGGCAGTGACTTCGATCAATGAATCAAATGTGTATTGAGTGCTGACTTCTGGATCAGATGCTATGCTGTGAAATTTCACATTTGTGATTTCTATTTAACATTTAATCAGTTTTTGGTGATTATATCCTCAGCAACCATATACAGGTGCTGGAGGGCTAACTGGCATAGAGTCAGGTTCAAGTCAGAGAAGGCAGAAACCAGAGCGAGATCATGGCAGTTGGGGACCATTGGAGGGGTTAAGCCTGAGGGCAAACTCTGAGATCTGAAAGTGTACCTTTTGAGTCCCCGTCTTTTCCCACTCCTCCTACCTAGGACACCCCTCAGGGAACCGTTGCGTATCAAAACCGGCTCCTAGAGCCTTCATCACACTGACGTGTGAGTGAAACCTCCTTCGGTGCCAACAATCTAAGAACGCCAAGCAATTTCATTTGAATGAGAGCCTTGGGATAAATAAATCCACTCGTTTACGTATTATTCGGTCCTGTATTGAACACCTTCTACATGCCAAGCGCTAAGGTAACCTTTCTTTATATTTGCCAATAGAAGGTATGAATGGAACACTGGAATTTCAGATATTAGGTAAGTAATGTAAGTTGGAAGGATGGAGATAGCAAGGCCTCAGTCTCCTCTGAAATTAGATCACAATGCTCTATTTCACCAATTTCCTTTTATCTTGATTACACGTCCAGGAACACTGACATTCTAAGAACAAAATGGACAAGTCCAGTGGACCAAAATAAGTTGGCTATACCTGAAATGATGGGAGAAACAGCACAAACATCAACCCTGGAGAAGGTAAGTGCAGAGACACACAAAGTCTTGAGGGGTCTGTAAAGCCATATAGTCAAGCACATGAAGGAAGAACACATCCACATAGATTAAGAGTAAATCTAAGCTTTGAAACTACAAGAGAATGCCAACTGGAAAACACACCATGAAATGCAGTGTAATGCAAGGGTAAAAAATTCAAAACATTTGTTTG